TGATAACCCTTCCACAACTATGTTAAAAAAAAGAGGGGGGGGGGGGGGGATAATGGGTCCCCTTGACATAGACCACTGTGGACTCCAAACTCCATGCTTGGTGAACCATTAATAAGAATTGATAATTTAGATCCCGTAATGCATTCATGAATTAGAGAAATCCACCTCTTCCCAAAGCCCATGTATGACATCACTTCCTCTAAATGCAACCAAACAACTAAATCAAAAGCTTTATGGAAGACCACTTTCATAACAAAGCCATGCTGCCCATTTTTTATTTACGCTGTGTACAACTTCATTTGCTATTATGAAGCCATGTAAGATTTGCCTACTAGAGATGAAAGTTGTTTGGTTAGCACAAATAATGCTAGGCATAACCTGTCTCGATCTGTTGGATAACATTTTTCCAATAATTTTGTACAAGCCATACACTGAACTTATCGTCCTATACTCTGAAAATTTAATAGGAAATTTTGTTTTTGGGACCAAAGCTACATGAAAGACATTAACCCTCTTTGGTAATTTTCGAAGTCTGAAAGATTCACGTACTATATCAAAAATGCTAGGCCCTATCATGTGTCATGCTGTCTTGTAGAAGGTGAGTGTGAACCCATTAGATCCTGGTGCTTTGCTCGCATCACAACTCTAGACTGCTTGTTTGACCTCTTCGATAGTTACCTCCTGTTCCAGTTGTTAAACTTGCTATGTGGAGAATTTAGTGAACACAAATGGTCCTACTGGAGCTCTTCCAGTAGTGTCATTAGTGAACAAACTTGAGAAGTAAGATGTTGTCGTCTCCTTAATGCCTATTGAAGAGGTATGTAGTTTATCATTATATTTGATTTGAATGATAAAGTTTATGCCTCTTCGAGTAGTAGTTGTCATGTAGAAGAATTTTATGTTTTTATCCCCAAACTGACACTAGGTCTGTCATGATTTTTGACGTCAGATTGATCCCACACACTTACTTCTGTCTCACTGCTTAGATTGTAGTGTTTGAAGCTCAGAAAGTTCATCCATTCTAAGTTGCTTATCCTCCGCTAAATTCTCAATGGTTTGAATTTCATGCTAAAGCTACAACAGTTTCTAGTTAACTAATTAAAATCTCCTATCATACTTAATATCGCATTCCTTCCAAATACCCTCAAGTTTCTCCATAACAGATTATATATGTACTTCTTAGTGTTGCAAGACTTCTTCATTTTCAATTTAAAATATTAAGAGGTGAATTTTAAAAAAGATCATTGAAACTCAAAAATAAGAAAAAAAGTTGATTATGTTGCTAATTTTTATTAGAAATAGATTTTAATTTTATCCACATGCTAATCATATCATTTTCTTAGCTGTGTATGTGTGTATTATTTTATGTTGAATAATAAATAATTCTTAGAATATAATGAATACCAAAACTCATTGGAAAGGATATAAGAAATAAGTATCTCATATAATAAATATCTAAAAAACTTATCTGATAAGTAATAAATATGATATGGATATAATAGAAATGAATGCTCATTTTGAGTCCAGTTTCATCAATATTTAGGGTTTTTTTTTATTGTAACTTGAAGTAACTACAAGAGTATTTGTATCTTTGACTACAATGCCTGCTGTCCGTTTTGTAATGAAACACAAGATTCTGCTATTATAATGTGGTTTTGTTTGGGTGATTTCAGGTTTGGTTGATGATTTCTTTATCAATGGAATTTGTTTTCTAGCAGGGTCAATTGCAACGCAAACTTTGGTACCTAATTGTCTACTCAACTCTGTGGTCTGTCTAGCTGGCTAGAAATAGCTTGATATTTAACAATTTTTCACCAGATTGGGACTATGTGTTCTCTTTAGTATTTGCACGCAATAGCCTACTGGATTAAGCTTACTAACGAGCCTTTTCCATATATTATATATATGATCTGATTTACTTAGAAGATGGATCAATGCTAACAATGTTTGGGTTTCAATTAACTTGAAGTAACCATGAATTGGTTGATGGTTCTTCCAATGAGAAATCAGACATGTTAGTTATGTTAGTTATTTGATGTATCAATTTATTTTTAAATTTTAATTAAAAGCATATCTAAAAAGGTTAAAAGCAAGGTAATAAGCCTAATATATCTAGGTTTGATAGAATATCAGATCTAGATAATTTAAGTCTAGCTTACTTCTATATTCAATATTGTTGGGTTCAATTGAGTACTGAGTTAAAGCAAACATGAATTTAAAAAACTGACAAACCCAATATTTTTAGGTTCAATTATGCGTTGAGCCTAAATAAATATGGGTCTGACAAGCTGCTAAACTCAATATTTTTCGATTAACTATATGTTAATCTAAATATATATGAATCTGGCAAATTACTAAACTCAACATCCTTAAATTCAGTTACTTATTGGGTTTAAGTAGATATAAGTTTGACATGCTGCTAATCACCTTATTCATAAGCTTGACATTATATCAAACCCAAGTGATATGATCTTTACTAACATTATAGGCTCCATAGTAGGCCACAGGGATTTATTTGTTTATTCTTAGAATTTTTTATTAAAAATACACTCTCATACTATCTAAAATAAAAATTTGAAGCAACACACCAAGAGCTTTCATTTGACATAATGTATGAAGTCCTCACTCTATATAGATCTAGATGAAAAAAAAAAAAAAGCTGGACAGAAGGTTGTAAATAAAAAGGATCTATTTTAAAGAAAGAATTAATTGTTATGACAATTTTGAAGAATTATCTTTGTTGTAACCTAATTTTAGCTCATTGGCTTTTAATTTAATTTTACAGGGTTTAAAATATAAAATTAAAATATCAGAGATTTATTTTGATGAAAAATATGATTTGTTTACTTGCGTTAAAACTAAGGACTACAATGTGTCTTTGTCATTATATCCTTATCTTCAAGATAATCCTTATTTTCTTCAAGATAGTCCTTACCTTCAAGCTAGTCCTTACCTTTTTCAAGATAATCCTTATCTTCTTCAAGATAATCCTTACCTTGTTCACGATAATTCTTATCTTATTCAAGATAATCCTCAAGATAATGATAGTTGTCTGCTTTTGAATTCGATTCTAATTTGAACTTCAAAAAAGAGAATGAGTTTGATTGAGACTTTACTTCTCGCAAGCGATGAGACTCTTACACTATAAATACTGATCTCAGTATACGAAAAGGAGAAAGAAAGAGGAGGAAGGACAATTAGAGAGAAACCCTAAAAGAAGAAACCTCAAGAGGAGGCCATTACAAGAAACCCTAAAAGATAGAAATATAAAAAAAAAAAAGAGGGGGCGGCGAACCCTATACTAGCCGCCGCCCCCCCTCAACCCTTTTTCTTCCCAGTCTCCCTCAACTTCGCCTTCAGCAGCCACACACCTAGGTAAGTTTCCTTTCTTTATTGCTAAAATAATTAACTGGTTACTTTGTTTGCTAGGGGTGTGCTTGGCAAGCATAATTTTTATGCCTTGGCCATAATTTTTATGCCATTCTAATTTGATATTTGAACAAACGAACCCTTTTTCGATAACATAAAATTCTAAAAATATTTGAGGCCTTCGTTGATTTATTTGTGGACCCCTCGCACCATTTTTTTCTTTGTGTTTGTATTTCTTGTATATGTGCCCAATATGTGGACTATTACTGTTAAACGCAAATATATCGTGTAATTTTTTTTTCCTTCCATCTAAAAAGGGTAAAAAATAATAAAGGATAAACAAGGGAAAAAAAAGGACATAAAAAGTTTCTTCTTCAAATTCATTTTTACAAAAATATTCACTGATGCCGGAGTCAGGAATATTGTATTTTTGGTTTTATGCGAAATTTACCAACACCAGAGTTGGAAATATTCGTAAGAATTGTTCACTGACACCAGAGTCATAAACATGAAAAGAAGAATAAAAAGAAAAAAAAATAGAACAAATTCTTAGCCATTTTAGACAAAATCAGCAATGCAACCTGCTTTAGATAGGACACTTAAGGGGTATAGTATCTTTCCTTTTATGTAACCAGTCTCGTATTATAGAATCTTTATTGATCAATTAGGGTTTTTAGTGACCATAATATTAGGTGACGACTCCTTGAACAAGATATTTTCTCCTAAAAAAACAAGATGCTAGATATTTGTTTTTTTTTTCAATCGAGATAATTTTTTAAGGTCGCCGCGATGACCGGGCATGACAATCTTTGTTTTATTGTTTGATTGGTTTTGAGTTTTGCTGAGATGGATTTATGTGTGATGCATGGTATCGAGGAACTTGAGATTGATGTTTGGATCTTAAATGTAATTACGAATTCAAGCTTCGAGGTCTATATTGCTTTCCAATCTCGATCGTATATGGTATGATCTTCGGATCGATGGTTAGAAATTCTAGACTGATGGAGAGCACAAGAGAGAAGTATGAAACTTAATTTTGGATTAAAATTCATAAAAGCAATGATTACATAAACTCGAAAATCGACAACATAAAATCTAGGCAAAAGCTAGCTCACCCGAAATCGATTGCTTGCCTTTAATTATCTTTGTTTTAAAGATAATTAAAAAAAAAAAACTGGGCAGAAGGTTGTAAATTGGGTGATCAAATTTAAATGTCAAAAAAAGATCTATTTTAAAGAAAGAATTAATTGTTATGACAATTTTGGATAATTATCTTTGTTTTATTGTTTGATTGATTTTGTGTTTTTCTGACATGGATTTATGTGGATGCATGGTATTGAGAAACTTGAGATTGATGTTTGGATCTTAAATGTAATTACGAATTCGAGCTTCGATATCTATATCGCTTTCCAATTTATTTGTAGAATCAAAAACTTTATTATTTTTTAACTAGCTAGTTAAAAAGCAGGTTGAAAAGTTAAGACAAACAGACGCTCTCGTACATGGTATGATCTTCGGATCGATGGTTAGAAATTCTAGACTGATGGAGAGCACAAGAGAGAAGTATAAAACTTAATTTTGGATTAAAATTCATAAAAGTAATGATTACGTAAACTTGAAGATCGACAACATAAAATCTAGGCAAAAGCTAGCTCACCCGAAATCGATTGCTTGCCTTTATTGGTAACACACAGCACAATCCTATTGACCATGCATGACATGACTAACCCACCTGATGTTGCTAAAGGTGGTTCTTGAATTCCATTTCTCATGCAAAATCTAATTAATTAGCATAGCTACACAATCCATACAAGCAGGAGCTTCCCTTTTTGCACTTTTGGTTACACTTGCCACAGTGTTTCTCATCAACAGAAGGGTTAACACACTTCCCTTGACAACACATCTCTGAATACTTGCATTTTTTGCCACACTTACCACAATTAAGCTTGTCGGTCATCACATTAACACACTGTTTTCTGCAGCAGTCAGGCCCAGCACTTCCTTTGGCACGACAAATATGGGGGTACTTGTCACATGTCATGGTCACTTTACTGGCTAGGAAACGACCACTTCTACGGAGATGTGGTTGTTCCTCATCTCCTTGCAAGGGAAGGTCATTGGTGCTATGTTTTTCTATGCTAACATGGGATTGTTTAACCATTGGTGTTGCTGATTGAATGTTGGCCAAGGCCATAAGCACTAGCAAGGTAAACAAAATTGTTGACGACTTCATGACCAGGGACCTTTTGAGAGTTTGCAAGGTAATTATAAGTAATGATGCTAGCTTTCGGTGAAGGGAGGTATTTATAGAAAGCTATACGTGAAAATTTTCCAATTTTTTTCCATAATGGCGGAGGTCTTTTTCTTCAGTGGCTAAATGGTTCAAGTATTTATTTTTCTCGTGCCTAAATGAGGAAAAATAGGAAATTGGGAAGAGGAGAAGAACCTAAAACATGGAGGATAGAAAAGCATACGCATGAATCTTCCTGAACATGGAAACCTCAGATATGTGTTGGGCTCATATGGCCCCCAACCATGGCTGTAAGAGTACATGTAAAATGTCTCTTGTCATGCTAATATTTGAGTCTCTTCGTTGTAACATGATTTTTTGTACCTTGTTAAACAATAATTACTTAAATTAACTTTTTGATTATCTAATTACTCATTATCTATTTGAAAAACAAATGTTGAAAGAAAAGTTAGAAAAAGTTAAAAAAAAATGCTTAAACATGCATCATGTTTAAGTGATTTTTATGCATGGTGATTGTTTATACGTTTTGCGTTATAATTATCTGCTTTTAAAATTGTTTTTTATTTTAAAAAATCAAATTAACATTTTTTAAAATGATTTTAATTTACTGATATATAAGATAAATTAATAAAAAAAAATTTAAAAATATTTTAATATATTTTTTATTATAAAACACTTTTTAAAACTAAAATACCAAACTTACAATCAGCTGCCCCTGTAATCAATTGGTTAGACAGTGACTGCCTAGCAAAACAATGAGAATTACTGCGTCAAATGAGTTGTCAAAAGAGAGGGGAGCAGACTTTCTTCACAGTTAATGACCAATTCAAAGCCTACAATCTGCAGCCCACATTAAATTTTCATTTTGCATTTTCCAGCGTTCGATTTCTGAATTTCATGTCTGTTATAGAAGCACTTTCTTTCCTTTACCTTGGCAATTGCGTGAAGGCATCTCACAATCTCCTTTACAGAAGATAAGGGTTGGGATTTTGCTTCAAGTTCTGACTTTTCATTGTTTCCAAATCATAGATATTTATTTCTCCACGGTTCGGCTATCTTGCAATATGCAATGACCAAGAACATTCATAGGTGATCCAAAGCATGTGTTTCAGACTTGCAAACAATATTTTATTCTCTTCCCCTTAGTCCTCCGTCAACTTCTCCTCTGATAGTTGCCAATAATCCGTGACAAAAGTAAATGAAGCCTGACTTTTGTAGGCAGCTAAAATAGATGCAGCCATTACTTCCTTTCTTATGAACTTGCATCAAGAAGAAACTACTTGATACTGTGTACCTTCCCCATGCACATGCTTAGTTTGACCGATGCCTGCGGTTTTGTTTAGAGTTGAAGCAAATGCCTGATCATATGCTGAACCATTGAGCAGCTAGATTGATTAAGAATCACTTTTCTCTTTCTTTATTTGAACTTTACAACTGTTTCCCTAGTAAAATTATAGAACAAAGTAGGAATATCATGTCCTCGAAGGGATAGTCCAATGGTTAAAATTTGTGATTTCCCGATGGATCTCATGTTCAAATCTTGGAAGTGTTGGAAGAAACCTGAATGTTGTATAAGATTAAAAAAGTAATACAAAGTAAAAAATTCAACAACCAAAGGAAGATTAAAAGGAATGTATATTTTAATTAAGTATTTCTCTTTAAATTCAAAAAAATAAAACTAATATAAAAAAATATTAATTTGATCGGCAATTATATTCTACCAAATAAATCAATTAATAATTTTTTAACTTGTGAATTGATTTATTTAATTCAACTAGTTACTCAATTCTCAATTAATAAACTAATTTTTCTGTTCTTTAAAAAAATCAAAAATTAAGTTTAATTTTCAATCAAGATAGTTAAAGACTTGTTGGGGCTCACAGTAAAACCAAAAAAAAATTATTTTAAGGTGCTATTTATTTTAACATCTGTTCTTTGTAACTAAAAATTTTTAATTTTTTTAAATTAATTATGTTTTATAATTTTTTTTATTGTTTTTATATGTTAATGTCAAAAATATATTAAAAATTATTATGTTAATTTATTTTTAAATAAAAAATATTTTGAAAAACAATTATTAATACATCATCAAATATTGTCTAATTTCAATTTGCTATCATGGAAGTATGCATTTAGAAACTTAAACTCTAATTGCTCTCATTAATATTTATGAATTTCATTGGTATTCAACAGTAGGTTTAGCAATGCATTATGTGGCAGATTAGTAATATTAAAAAAATAATATAAATTATATTAAAAATTTATTTAAAAATTTTAGCTTAAAATCATTTTTCAGAGCCTCTTAAATATGTAAATATATAAAAATTTAAATTCAAAAAGTTTATATTCTAAATAATATAATAGAAAATAATATAAATTATATTTTAAAATTACACTTATCAATTAAAATTTTTAAATTTAGATCATTCTTAAATAATCACACTTATAATATGCTAGCTATATGTCTATGTTCAAGTTAACATATGTAGAGCTTGTGATTGCAAGGTTATGCTACTGTAAACTTTTTGCTCATTTATTCTCGGTGGTAAGATTACAGCTATACTCTCGTAATGTGGTGATGTGACATACATTCATGAGCCAACACATGCACCCCAATGCACTTTGGAGCAGGCATGAGACTCAATTTTGCAGAAACAAGAAGATGTATACAACAGTAAATTATACAGTTTGCGAAGCAATCATGCATAGTTACACATCCCATAAACACAAAATTCGCCCTTCTTGCACTTCTTGTTGCATCCACCGCAGTTTCTTTTATCGAAAGACGCGTTCACACACTGGCCCTTGCAGCATATTTCAGTATACTTGCACTTGGACCCACACATACCGCAGTTCAATCGGTCCTTCTTCACGTTAACACATCTCTTGTTGCAGCAATCTGGTCCTGCACTTGTCGTCAGTCGACAAATTCGAGGGAATTTGTTGCATGTCAGATTGGCTATCAGGTTTTGTTGAGCCAGGACGCGACCAACCCCTCGTAGGGAAGTCACTCCTTGGATTTCGGACAACGAGAGTTCACTTTGCCTGTTTGCATTTTCTTTGTCACTGTCTAAATGCAAAGCTGTAACGGCAGCTACTGTTGAGAGGGCAATGAAGAGCTCTAGCAGCTTCATGGTTACTAGCTAGGATGAAACAAGGATTAGTTGGATGGGAATTATTTTGATAGGAGATAGGCTTTTATAGACAAGTTTTTGCAAGAGATCGTTGACATTAGGAAATTGAATTTACAAGTTTTGCTTTCTCTGTGTCGTCTTGATTCATCACAATGCTTAGAAATGACTAAATATCATTAAAGAAGAATTGAGTTTATTAAATTTAAAGAAAAGGTGGCCTCCGTAGGGGAAAAAAAGGTCAAATAGATACCAAAATTACTCCAAGCAAATAGTTTTAATTTTACGCCATTGTTTCTAGTATTTGATAAATCCAAAAATAATAAAACCACCCTAAATAGCATTTTATAGGACTAATTTGAGGACTTTTGAGAACTTAATTGATTACAGAAAGCAGACTCTCCGTTAAAGTTGAGGTTTTGGAATTTTCTTTTAAAAAAATTATTTTTTATATAAAAATTATTTTTCTTTCAAAGAAAAAAAGATAATACTTCAAATCAATCATACATACACAGCTGTTTAAAATGTTAGGTGAACAGACAATTTAGGATCTTATTGAATAAATATTGAACAAGTAATTGAAATTTTAATTAATATTATACAAATTAAAAGTTTGAGGACTAGCACGGACAAGATTGTAAATCTTAACTGTTTAATTTTGAAAAATAAAAGCTTAATTAAGAAGAAAGTTGAATATGGAAGCAAAATTGAGTATATTTTTATAACTAACTACTACTACAATATTAAACATGTTCCAAGTGTAATATTTGAGCTAATGAGTATATGGGATTTAATATACTTCTTACTTGTAATTACAAGCTAGAGATAAAAGAAATACAATAAAATATAGGTATTAAATTACAGACTAGGATGTATTGTGTCAGTCCTCTTTAATTTTTGCTTGCTTAGAATTATGACTCTTGTATAATGTTTGGTAATCATTTGCATGGTATCTTTCTGTTTTTTTTTATTTAAAAAGAGATTAATTAATTAGAGTTTTTCATTAAAGTTTTTTTTTCATGTCCAAGTAAAAAAATGCTAAAATTTTTTTTATATCTATTCAAGTTTATATTAGCCTTTTCACAAAAAGATCAAAGTCAGAAAATACTTTTGCATATTTTAACATTTATAAAATATTTTGTTTAAGCATTTTTAAAAAAATATATAAAAAAAATATTTTGCATGTATATTTGGGCTTGTTAAAAAGTTTATTAAGCTAATAAGAACTAGAATTAAAAGGCTTAATGAATCGACATACCTGAATTTTTAAAATAATAAAATCATCAACCTTGTCTTTGTAAAAAAAAAAATATTTGTTATCCATGTTTAAGATAAATGGATTCATTACAAGTCACCGTCTTGAGTTTTTTATTTAAAAAAAAAATTCAATTCAAATAATTTTTTTTAATTCACTAGCATCAGAGGTGGTAATATCAACTTGGATTGATATTTACTAATACCAAAATTACAAATATCTTCTTAATATTCATTTATTTTTAAGTTAAGATTATTTATATTTATCAATGTCAAAATTAAAAAAATTTCAATATTCATTAACATTAGAGTTAGGAATATCAATATTAGAATTAGAAATAACTTTTAGCCCAATATTCATTGAGGCTAAAGTTAAAACTATTAGATTTGTTATACACAGAATGCTAAAATTTGAAGTATTTTTTTCAAGTTATGAATATTATAAGTAGACCATAGCATAACATAACAAACCATTAATAAGTTAAGACAAAATATGCAATGTAGTCTATGTCAAGTAGATCGTTTTAGAAATGATGGTATCTTATTTTAGCGTAACTAATCTCATATTATAGAATTTTTATTGACTAGTTATGGTTCTTAGTGACTATAATATTAGATGGTAAGTCTTTAAATAATATTTTTTTTTAAAAAAATAAAATGTTAAATATCTATTTTTATCTTTTTTTTTTTAACTTCATCACAGTGTTAAGCACTATTTAACTTTTAGATCTAACTTTTATATTGGAATTTATGAGCTTTTTCATCAAAACCAACCATGCTGCATAAGTTATATTTCTCTTCATTAATCCATAAATGACTATGCTAAAAAATACACATAATATTATGACATATTAGCAATGGACTAATTAAAACTATTTGCATTATGATTTCGGATTATGTAACTATATAATTTTTTTTTTAAGAATTGAGATTTATACTTATGATTAGTATAAATAGATTTTTTTAATTTATTTTTAAATAAACTTTTATAATTTGATAAATAAATAAAGAGATTGTTCTCTTTCACTTACATGAAAGATTATACAGGATATCTAGGATTTTTCTCGAGCTCTCTTCCTAGCTTTTTTTTTAATTTTTTTTTTAGATTTAATTAATTAAGTAATTGTAATAATATTAAAAAATAATATAAATTATATTTTGAGATTTTTAATTAAATTGAATTGATTATTTAATATAATATTAAAATTTTAAAGAGAAAATAATTATAAATTTAAATTTTATTATTTTTATTTATTTAATAAAAATTAAATACACGATAGCATAAACTTTTATCAATATTAAAATAAAAGTATTTTTAATTTAAAAAAATATATTAAATTTAAAATATTTAGTTTTAGATTTTCAATTCTCCTTCAAATTTTATATTCCAAACATAATTAATTAGAAAGAAAAGCAAATCGCAATGATTGCAAAAGGACTGATACAAATCAGAATAATATCTATCTTGTCCTGTGCACCACTGGTTCAAGGTAGACACGATTCTTTATGTTGCTAAGAAAAGCACATATTCTGACAAGTCACAGGAAGTACATCAACGAATGATTGATGTCATTACATCAACTCTGCAGCAAGTCTATGGCGACATGAACTTTTTATACAGTTTTAAATGTTGCAGCACGTCAATTTCATTGTCAAGGCAGTGAGAGATCATGAGCTCTCATTGCCTTGTAATCCTCTGTTTAATCCTCTGTGTCCAAAGCTCTTCATGCAGCGAGCGTTCTCTTGTGGCAACAGTGAGAAGAACTCATGAGGGGCAAGTCAGCTCCACTGTGGAAAACATCAAACCACAAAGGGATGATCATACTTCTTTTCGAGGTACTGAGAATGCAGAGACGACGAACCTAAGATCATGGAGTGGTCAATTTGCTTTGCATCACAGACGCCATCTTAGGAATGTAAGGAAAGTTACAATCAACAGAATTTGCAGAAAAATAAAGAGTTCCATGTGCTTTAACTTTTATTTTTATTTTCATTTTTCCTTGATGAACTTGTCTTGCTGTTGCTAATGTGATCTACATGAAACAGACTCATGGGGTTCTAAACATCATAGGATGGGGAACACTCTTGCCAGCTGGGGCGATTGTTGCAAGATCCTTCAGGAAACTCCCATTGAAATGTGATGAATGGTACAAACTTCACGTTCTGTGTCAAACTTTGGGATATATTATTGGTGCAGTGGGATGGAGCTTTGGGATGTGGCTTGGGAATTCCTCAAAGCAATACAGCTTGAGAGCACACAGGATTCTTGGCATCGTTATTTTCACATTTGCAACTGCACAGGTGAGCCTAGACTTGCAGTGCCTCTACTTATTTTAATCAATCTTGCTTTATTGATCCCCGACGCCATTGTTTTTGCAATGCAGATGCTTGCTCTCTGCTTGCAACCGAAGAGAGAGAATGAATGCAGGAGGTGGTGGAAGACATACCATAAAATTCTAGGATATCTATTGATTTCCATGATTGTAGCAAACATATTTCAAGGGATTGATCATAAAGACCATGCTGAGAAATGGAAATGGATTTATGTAGGAATACTTTCAGTTTTATCATTTAGTGCTATCGTGCTGGAGATTCTTCGATTTGTCATGCCTAGAATTCACCGGTAGATGGCGTTGGACATCAATCCTAATATTTCCACATGAATTTTATTGAATCTGTTCAGTACTGGGAAAATTTCAACAAGAACAATCTCATATATATATATAAAGTGGTCTAGCCAGGACCCAGGAATATATATATATATATATATATATATATATATATATATATATAAACTGGTCTAGCCAGGACCCAGGAATACATATACCATTTCACCCTGTTAATTATCTCTCATTTACCTGTTAGAAGTATCTTCTATAATTTACATTTATCATGTCTTCTACTAAATAAACATGTTGGATCATTCATGAATGGTCATCAGCCATCCCTTGAACTTGAATATCAAAATTAAAGAATTTTCTTTTTAGAATGAGCGCTGTTTTAAAAAAAAAATGACAAAATAACATTAGATTAAATTTTTTTAATGAAATAATAGTTTGTACTTGATGTTAGCATAATTTAAAAACATAATATTCAAACTTATCACTATTCAAATTAAAACTAAACTACGTGAGAGTTATCCTTACATGAATTAATTGATTAATTAATCTAAAAACAAGTTGATTGATTAGTATAAAAAATTCAAAAGTAAAATTGATAAAAAAAACCTTTCACTTGATTTCTTATCTAATTAGAATTTACAATAAAATTATATAAGATTTGTCTCAACATAACACAATTAATTTAATCAATCCAGAAACAACCCGGATTATTATTAGAAAAAGGGCACATGCTTATATAAAAAGTGAAACTCAACAATTTTGTTTCTTCTTTGCCGGTAAAGGCCTGGATTGTTCCTAGAAGCTGATCTAAAATTAAACGCTCACTATTCATACTAACCTTGCAGATCGGATGTCAAGTTTTTTCTTTTGAAAGAAATCGTGATCGTGAGCAACTAGTTGATTTTTAATAGTTATTTTTTATATTTATTTTTTAAATAAATATAAATAAACTTATAACAACCAAATATTTTTTTATGTGGGCTCAAAAAATAATTAGCTAGATGCCACACGTTTTATATATATAATTCTCCCTTGGCACCATAAAAATATTAGTGAAGTGAGTGTGTGTGTATATAATAATAATAATTTGAACTAAAATCTTAGTTCATTGAAGAAAATTTAATATGAAAATTGTTTGTAAAAAAATAAAATAAAATTACAAAGGGCATTTTCTACAATACCATTGGTTTAAACTAAAGAAATTTCAGTGACGTGTTAATTTACAAGTTGTAACAAGGAAAAAACAAAAAACCTTGAAAAATGAATAAAATATTGTAAGGAAATATTCTAAAACGCTACGTTTCATACCACTAATCTAGCTAGCAATTTACCAACCAAAAATCGAAGGATTTTAGAGAGAGAGAGACCACAAAAAATATGAACAGACAAGAAGACGAAGAACCCAGCACCACAGATAAGAACTGTACCACAAAACAAGAACAAGGGCAAGTCTCTGATATGTCAGCAATACCTGTCGCTATGGACAAAGTCGCAGCGGCGGCGCTCCGATCAGTGCTTCAGCGTGTCTCTCAAGCAGCAGAGAAGGCAGGTCGTGGATCCCAGCAGATCAGAGTGGTGGCTGTTAGTAAGACCAAACCAGTCTCTCTAATCAAACAAGTATACGATGTGGGTCACCGTTGTTTTGGTGAAAACTATGCTCAAGAATTCATAGAAAAGGCACCCCAGGTTCGTAAAGTTTAAATCTTTTTGTATTAATTTGTGTTAAATAATTATGGTAATCTTGATTGATCAAAGATGTGAACTTTTCTTGGTTGAATCTGGTGATCAAATAATGCAGTTGCCAGAGGATATAGAGTGGCATTTCATTGGGAATTTGCAGAGTAATAAAGTGAAACCTTTACTGGGTATGGTTCATTTGTTGTCTTTATTGGTTTTGAAATTCTGGGTTTGTGGTGTTTTATTGTGTTTTCTTATGGGTGATTGCGTGTTGTGCAGCTAGTGTACCAAACCTTGATATGGTAGAGAGTGTGGATGATGAAAAGGTAATGACTTTTTTTTTATGAACACGTGCATTTTATTGATTTATGAAGCTCTGCTTGAGGACCTTTCTAACTATTCAAGCTTGTTAGTTTATATGTTCTGTTATGAATTTATGAAAGCTTAATTTATTTTATTTGCAGATTGCCAATCATCTTGATCGAGCAGTTGGGAACTTGGGAAGGAAGCCCCTGAAGGTCTTAGTCCAAGTGAATACCAGTGGTGAAGAATGTGAGTGAATTAAATATGTAGGTTTATTGCTGATGGCCTTAATTAATATTGCTGACTTAGGATAACTAAGTAATTTTATTTGATATTAGTTGCAAGGCAGCACCATTACCTGTCTTAATTAGTTCTGTTCTATATTTTGTGTTTAGATAACATGATATTGAATAGCATATGCTTGCTCCTCTTGGAGGTTTGAGTAGTGTGTTCATAATTCAATGGCTGTTCTTTACCTTCTATAAGTGCATAATTTTACCTTAATTTTGTCTTTATTGTGGACTTGTGAATAAAGTCGTAGTTTCATTTTGTTTGGTTTAGAACATGGCTTCTATATGAAATGACCTAGGATTTTGCATTTAAAAGAAAAGTTCATAACCTTGTTCTGATGTCAAGAAAGTAGCCAGGAATTATTTGTGCTTGGTGTTTACACCTTAACATTGTAGGTTGAGTGGCATTTAGGTTCTGATGGTGCTTTCTGTTCTACTTTTGAGTGGCTTTTAGGTTCTGATGCTGCTTCTTATGCTACTGCCTCTGAGCTATGCATCTATTATTATTTAGAAGTCTCTTTTAAAACAGGTTGTCTAGTATACGAAAATTAGTCACCTTAAATACCCTCTGTAGCTTTTTTAGCATGCAGCCAGATACCTCCTCTGGAATCTGGTTCTGCTAAAAAACTGTTACCTGCTGCACAGTCTCCTTGTCGTTCCAGTCATGGTTGGGAGCCAATTTGTTCTTGGGGAAATTTTTGATTGTATGATTTACAACAATTTGCTCTTATTTGGCTTGAATTTCTTTCAACTGCCATATCCTGTTTAGTTGTAGAATTCTACTAGTTTAAGGATCTCTTAAAAGCACTTGGTAATGATCTACTATTTTTGGCTGTTGTTTTATGTATGTTGTATTGTTGCAGCGAAATCTGGTGTTGAGCCCTCAGGTTGTGTGGAACTTGCAAAACATGTTAGTCAGAGTTGCACAAACCTTCAGTTTTGTGGCCTAATGACAATAGGAATGCTTGACTATACCTCAACGGCAGAAAACTTCAAGGTGGTAGTTGCATATTTTGTTCACTTTTAGGTTCCCTACTTTTTTCCTCTTACTTTTTCACAGCATTGTGTGTGCTTTAGATTTTCTGACATCAAACCCTGTTATATTATCAGGCATTGGCAAACTGCAGAAGCGAGGTTTGCAAGGCCCTTGGTATACCAGAAGAGCAATGTGAGCTCTCAATGGGGATGTCTAATGACTTCGAGCAAGCTGTGAGTGATACTGGCTTGTAGCAATAATTTTTGTTTTTATCATCAATGATGTGGAAATTGCATCCCTTGATTCATTATAACACATCCTGTCTAAAGATTATTCAACTAATAGCTAAAACTTGTTTTGCAGATTGAAATGGGGAGTACGAATGTGAGAATTGGTTCTACCATATTTGGGCCTAGGGAGTATGCGAAAAAGAAATGAACACGGTGCCATTTGCTTCCATGTTTGTTCAGTCATATTCACGAGGCAAATTAATGGCATCTATGGTAAACCTTTGATGCATTGATTACAAGAAAGCTTAGACAAATCTATTTTAATGTCCTATAAGTGTGTATCACGTGGTTGTATGTAGATTGAACAGCTGAATGTTACTCATCATTTGCTTGTTCAGCATGTTGATCAACTTGCAAAATGGCTATACAAACAGTACTCGCAAAGTTCGACCATGATTCTTTACATGTATTTTGTTTTTGGAATGGATGGATTTACCAGGTTAAGTTTGTCCATTCGCGAATGAATTTTAGAACTCAGTAGTATCATTGCTGAAGATATTCTATAGCTGATGACAAAATGCCAGACCTTGTTAACACAAAGTTGTGCTTCATTGAATAAATGTGTAAAGGAGGGTGAAGCATGGGCCTGTTGATGATCACTACTACCATGAAGAGAAGTTTACCTGTTGAAAATTATGCTAAAAGAACGTAGTTGATAAAGCTGGGTCGGAGAACCTTCAAAACCAGCCAGCTTCATGAAATTATTCTAAACAGTTTTCTCCCAGCATGTGTATAACTAACCAGAACTTCTTGGTAGAACCATAACTGACATGAACAATAACTCTTTAGGTTTTTTACTTTTAACAAAAACTCTCCTTGTAAGCTTCGCAGTGTGTGTTTAGCGTGGTTGCAGTTACAAAAGGTATATTTAAGAAAAGATATAAATTCTTGTTTTCTCTGAAACCGGTTTTCAATATAGAGTTTTTAGTGGATTTATTGTTTTGGTTTTTGTTGATTAATTAAATATTTTGAATATTATAATAGGGATAAAATTATGGTTTTTAAATGACTTAGAGGTTGGTTTAAGATAAGTCTCGAGTTATGAAATAGTGTGTTTTATATTATAGTAGTTTTTGTAGTTGTGGTTTGAAAAAAATTATTTTATAAAAATTATTTTTAATTAAAATTGATTTTGTATTTATATATATTTGGTTAAGATGATGTTTGAAATTAAGGTTGAATACAAAAGTAGTTTAATGTATTTAGTTAAGAATGTTTTTCAAATCGAGGTTATAAAATAACTAAAAAATAAATATATTATTATTGATAATTTTTAATTGAAATATTATAAATTTAAGTATTGTTATTATATTATGAAATAAACAATAATTTATATCAAATATTTTTTATTATTTTATTAAATTATCTATAATTTCATCATTTACGAAATTCATCTGACAAGGATTGTAATTTTTATGGTTTTTTGAGAGTGTAATAACTGAAGGTAAAATATCATGTAATTTTCTTCTAATTTAATTATATAGTGCCATTAAATAATGTTAAACATTAATTTTTTTGAATAAAATATAATTAAAAATAAAAATAAAAATAATTTTTTTATTTTATTAGATCAGATCTGGTCCAATATATTTAGGTTTGGATCGAACATGAACAATGAAGACAATAAAAGAAAAAGAAGCAGTTTTATCTTGCTTATTGTTACCCTAAATTTTAAATGTAAATAATAATAGGTCTCATAAATAATAAATTAACCGGTTTATTTTTATAGTCTATTTTAAAAGTAAAAACAACCACAAAAACAAACTCTCTCTCTCTGATAAGCTGCTTGGTAGCATGGTGAGTTGCAAAGGAAAGCTGAAACTTCTTTTTATCTACTGTTTTCAAATCCAAACCAACTAACTGGGCTGATTCGTTACTTGAATTTAAATCAAATTAATTTTCAATAAAAATAGAAGAAGGATTAATTTGGTATAACCAGATTAAAAGCACTGATTTATGACCTAATTAATTAAGAAAAATGATGTTAAAACCTGTTATTTTTTTTATTTTTTAAATTACTTTTAAAATAATATCATCTTTATTTTCTATAAAATAAAATACAAAATTATGCCAACTTGACTTCTCATTTTTTAAACCCCTCAAAAACTACGTTAGAGATAAACACCACCGATCAGAAAGGAAACCACGTCTAAAGTTCCTTGCTTGGCGCCAATACCGTATTTCCAGGAGAATTTTACCATTTCAGTGAGAGAAGTTAAAGGAAATATATACCAAAATTCAGATAATTAAGAAAAAATAAACACTCGATCATCATCATCCTAGAACAGAAAGCAGTTACCAGATGATAAGCATTACATAGCTTAGCTTTTCTTTTCGCTGCCTCAAATCCAAATCTTTTACACCTTTCTTTTGGCCCAAGTAAGAAAGAACGAATGATGAATGAGTACTACTACAACAACAGGCGCAGAGGCCCTAAGTTAAAGGCAGCCATAAAGGTGATGATGGTTATCATGGGATTTTTTCTTGTTGGCTACATTGTTGGCCGACCTTTGTATTGGCATCTTTCTGAATTTTTAACGGCCAAGATTCGTTCTTCTACCCTTCGTTGCCATCCTTGCTCCTGTGATTGCTCTTCTCAACCCCTCCTTACCCTCCCTGAAGGTATGTAAATATGCATGCATGCATGGATGTGCATGTTGTTTGATTGTGTTCCCTTTTTGGCTTTAGTTTGTTTTGGTTTTTAATTGATGAATCTTGTATGTGCGCAAGATTTTCTTATGTTTTTGTGGTTGGATTTTCAAGGGGTGATAAAATGGTCCAAAATGCATTTATGGGGCATTGAATTTACTACTAAAAGTTGATTGATTGTGTGTTTCTAGGCATAAAATTTGCTAATTTATGTGTGTTTATTGTGGATCACTGATTTTTGTAGTTTTTTTTTTCAATTGGGAGAAGAATAAGGTTTTAGTGTTCTACTGTACGTGGAAATGTTGATTACTAGGGGTTGTAGATGGCTTTAGTGGATTAAGTTTGTCTGATCTGATGGTGCAATTCAATTACTAGGAGGTTACTCAGTTGTTATAGCTGTGAAAATGCTGAAACAATTTCAAAACATGAATCTGAGTATGTTACGAATTTTTTAATATCCCTGTTAAAATCCCAGTTCCTTGTCAAGGAAAAAGTTAGATTTTCTTTTAGATGATGACCATGACCTGCTTGTTTGACGTATTCCTTCTAGTTTGCTCTGATGATCCTGGAGGATTTGTTCTTGATGTTGTGGATATTATTGTATTAAGTGATGCCAGTACTGGCTAACTACCAACTCTACTGTTGCTTTTCATGATGATTTTCTTGTCTGTTTCGTTTCAGGATTGAGCAACAGCTCCTTTACAGGTTAGTTTATCGTTCCCATAGCCGGCCATAGGCCATGTGGAAAGGGATTTCTATGATATAATGAACCAGAATTTTATGAACATCAATTTTCACAGTATTGCTGAAATTTGATTTCTGTTCTTATTTTGACGTCTGTTGTGTATTTAGGGATGCTTTAGCAGTCTAGATTTAAGGTGATTACCTGTAAAGTATCAGAAGAAAATGAAAAGGCTGTTAAGGAACAAACTAAAACTGATAAATGGTAATTTTTTTTTTTATTCTTTCGTTACAAAGGAGAGGTTCAAACTCGAGATCTCGTGGGGGGGAGGGGGACACTAATTCCAGCCAAGAGTTATAGCTGATATTTGGTACTTGTACACATGAATAGCTTTATCCAGGATACTTTCAAGTCATAACAATGGTTATCTACTCTCAAGGCTGCCTGTTTAGATGTCACACGGCTGCCTGCTCCCTAGTCCCTATAGAATAGGGCAACATTAAATCTTGCAAGGAAGAAAAAGGAAGAGCCTTGCTTTTCTACAGAAGAATTAGTGTTTCGTCAGCTTCAGACATCTAAGAACTGTTAGGATGTCAATGTCGACATGTCTAGTGTACACGATGATACTTGGTAATTCTGAAAAATGCTATTACTAGCGTTTTCGGGATGCAAGGAAAGAAAATTGATGTGATTCTGCTTTTTTCACTATTTCTATGGATGTTATTATCTATAGTGGGTTATACCATTTCTTGACTTTTGACATTTACTGTTATTGTCTTTCTAATCTTTTAGATTGTATGAAGCATGATCCTGAAGTGAGCCGTGAGATTGAGAAAAGTTTTACAGATATGTTATCAGAGGAACTGAGGTTAAATGAAGAAGAAGCTCAGAAAAAACAGCAGCGTGCAGACGTGGCGCTGTTGGAGGCTAAGAGAATGACATCTCAGTACCAGAAAGAAGCAGAGAAATGCAATTTTGGAATGGATACCTGCGAAGCGGCAAGAGAAAGAGCTGAAGAAGTATTACAAGAACAAAGGAAACTTAGTGCAACATGGGAGTTTAGGGCCCGCGAGAGAGGATGGAGAGAAGGCCTCATGAGGTCTCAGGTTAATCAAAACTTCGAATAGATTAGGTAATTCTAAGGAAATCCAATGTAGCACGTTGAAACACAACCATTTCGAATCTGAGTTTTGATCCTAGTTAATTCATTCTTTAACTTACTCAATTATGTTATCCAATTCTTTCCTCTGCAATTTGTTGAACGTCTTGTGCTGAGGTTACCTTTGGTTCTCCTGTGTGGCAATATAACAACTACCAGCTCCATCGTACTCTAGCATTTAAAGCAATATTTTTGTTGACTTCGGTTATGGCAGATGCTAGTATAAGACACCTGCATTCTCCATTGATCTTCCACCAGACAACTAATTTGTAGACCTTCATTGATTGAGCAGGCAAATAAGCGGATGTCAGGACTTTCGATTCAATTGACTATGACTTCACAATGGAAGCATTTTTCAAGAAATAGTAGCTCAACTTTTACTCATATCTCCCTTCTTGTAAAATGTCTCACGTTCGAGCTCCCCAGAACCCAAAAAAAGGAGAGAAGATTCTAATTAGGCCATTTATCAGTCTGGCCAGCATCAGGTCCTCTTGCTCTCTCTAGTGTGTATTAACAAGGACACAACCAGCTAACTAATTAGCTGAAAAAAGTCAATGATGAGAAAAGTTGCAGATATGACTGCAAACAAGAAAGGAAGAAAGATCGTATTGTGCAACACGGTTATTTATGAATGGAAAGATAAGTTCGTCTGAAGCTAGGCAAGGGACCAAATTAAGCAATGGCATTGCCGGCTTGCCTAGTTCATCTTTCACTTGTCAAAACAAGGCCAATTTGGCTAGATACCACTACTATTTAGTCTTCCCTGCAACTATATAACTTCACATCTCACACCACTACTCCATTAGCTTATTGGGGAGGGAAACAGAGTTGAGAAAATGGGTAATTTTTCTCTGATTTTTATGTTAGTGGTGGTAGTGTTAGCGATCAAAGTTGGTGTTGGCCAATCCCAGCTTGCATATGATTATTATAAATCTTCGTGTCCAAATGTATAAACTATAGTTAGGCAAGAAATGCTAGGCATTTTCTTGATGGATGTTACAGCACCAGCTGCTTTTCTTAGGCTCATGTTCCATGACTGCCAAGTTCAGGTTAAGAAAATTATATTTCCTTGTTTGTTCTCTGCTTAGAAAAAATACGGTAATGTCATTGTAACGTGGTGGTTTCTTTCTATGGTTTCCTGCATTTTGAACTCAAGTCATGATTCGTATAATCCTTGCTACTGCATCTTCTTTCTTCTTCTGAACCTATTTATTATATGGATTCGCTTATAAGCTGAAAATGATTGGTTGATATTGCTTGTATAAGGCACCAGTACTGTTATTAAGTTAGGTTTATTGTTCTTGCATGAGAATCCTCTCACTTTCTGTATGAATGCAGGACTTGAAAATTTCTGAATGTTTCTTTGATACAGGGATGTGACGCGTCGATCTTGCTGGATTCAGGCAACTTTGAATCAACTTCAGACCTTAATGACATTAAAGATTATCAATGCCAGTTCATAATTAATGCATCTTGCTATCATTTCTGAGATTAAGAATCACTTAACCCTTAATTAAGCATGCCAGTACAAGGAACTTATTGCAACCTTAAGGTTGCTACCGTCATTAATGCAGCTACAGAAAGCATGGAAGTAACTACCAAAAACAGCAGAACACCATAAAAAATAGACTACAAGAAATACTGGCCATTTAGGGCATGGTGGCATGAAGAAAGTACTTCGCAACTAATGTTCTTACAGAAGGGAAAGGACAGGCCAGGAGATACTTCAACAAAGTGAACAAAGGGTGAATGGGTGATCCCTCCGCCAATCTCTTTGGTGGGTTCCATTGATTGGTGAACTTATCCTAAACTCTAATCTCTTTATGGTGTGACTGTATCATTGAGATTTGTGAGTTTAAACCTTGTTATTCCTCTCTACAATGGTGTTATCTGTCTCTAAAGAGTGGAACACAACCTATCTTTTATTTTTCCATCCCCCCCACTTCCATTCCCATCATATATCATATCCATAATTCCCATTGAAATTCCATCATCCTGCATCTCCTTCCTCATAATGAAAACATAAGGAAAAAAAAATTCAATCATAATATCGTTATTTGGATTTTTTTTAATTTCATTTTTTAATTAAATATAAGTTTTTTATATATTTTAATTTTGATATTTATTTTTTTAATTACTATGTTTTTCAAAAAAAATTTGTGTAATTAATTTTTTTTAATTTTATTATTTAATATTTAGTTGATTAAAAATTAAATTTTATAGTTTTTATAAATATGATGTTTTGTCTCTAACGACTTGCATCACGAGTTATTTTAAATGAAACGCTTTATAATTTTTTTATTAAATTATTTAAATCTTGTGATTGAATCTGTATTTTGATAGAATATTTAAAGTTAAATTCACCTTAATTATAACAATTATAAATTTGTTATAGTTGATTTTTCCATGTTATTTTTTTTATATATACCTTATTTCAGCATTTAAACATTATAAATTTAGTGAGATACTAAATTGAAAAAAGAATGGGAAAGATGAAGGCTTTGTTTGGCATTGATATTGTAATCAAATGCTATTTTTAAAAAAATTTAAATTTTATTTTAACTTTTCATTAATTTTTTTTAATGTTTTTATCATTAAACTCGTATCAAAATTTTTGCTTGGAATAAGTTTTTTTCCGCAAAATCCTCCCATGAGTCGGTTAGCTTGGTTTACGGCTGAGTTTATATTAGATTACCTTTATGTCCCTCTAAGAAAGAGGGAAAAATAAAGTAAAGGGGTTTTGATAAGGGTAGTTTTGCCATTTGAAAAAGATAGAGAAACCCTAGTGGATCCATTATTGGAGTATTTAATAAGAGCCCTCAACCACAACTACTCTTAAATATGGAGGAAGCTGGAGGTTGTTGCTGAAGCTATTTGTCAATATTGAAGAATTAGTTTCATTGAGTTTGCAAATGTTGAAAAAGATTGAGATTGCTGATATAAGGTGAGTTCATTGTTTGCATGAGTAGATCAAATTACTTAAATATTAAATTTTTATCCTTCATAGTTGAATTTGCTCTCTTATTTTGTAATCATTCTATTCTTAATAATTTAGGTTTTAGGTTTACATAAGAAAAATAAATTTTCTTTCAATGTAGTTTTGACTAACATTATTTTTTTAAGAAAATATTCTAGCTTTTATTGGTGAAAAATCATGATTGAATCCATGCACACCAAGATTAAATCCAAATCTCTAGTTTGGCATAAGTTTAAAGTTTGAATTTTGATACCTATAAAAGAATTATACCATTTATGCTACTTTACAATGAATCTTGCTACTTTGGAGTGTTATAGTTAACAGGTCTTGGATGATAATGAATGTTCATTGATCAAGTTTTCTACCATTTATATAAGAATTTAAATTTGATTGGGTATGATTTTTTATATATAAAGTTTTATCCAATTGAGTTTTGGATACTTATCGACTTGAATATTATAAATTATAACTACATTGTAGATAATTAGTTAGATATATATATCTAAATTATTTTAAAAACTTTAAATTATTTATTTATTTCACATCCTGTAAAACAATATTTATACCCCACTTTGCTTTCGGGTTTTTCTCGAACTCTCGAACATGATTGGATTAAATTTTTTTTATCTATTTGGATTGATAATTTTCAAGTTCCAGTAAAATTGTTTTCCTAACATTTAAAACTCAAATTTAATATTGAAAGAGGGTTTTTCTTTTTTAATTTGAATTGTGTACAAGTGATGTGGATTGTGTTATAAAATGGTTATTTGGTTTAGTGTTTTTAAATCTAGTTTGGTGGTCCATTCCATCAAAGGCTTAGGTTACAGATTTTAACTGGTTCATTAAGTTTTGATTGAGTTAATTTTAATTTATTTTTATATAAATTAAAATATTATTTTGATAAAAAATAAAAAAAAAATAGTCAATGATTTATAACTGAATTTTGTCAGGTTAACTAAGTTAGCCTATTATATTACTTGGATCAACCAGATTTTTAATTATTTTTTTTTATAAATTCAACTTGATTTCAATTTTAAATTAATCAGATCTCAGGTCAATTTGCATAATTAAATTTTAAAATGAGGATTTGTTTATTGTGATAATTATAGTCATGGGGACAACCCTTTTATCAATAATTTTAGAATATTTGTTTTTATTTACAAATTTATTATAAAATTATTTTAATATATCATACTTGTCTTTTTAGTCCAAATCTCTCTATTTTTTTTTTTATATTTATCCCTTTTGTTTTGAGGTACTGATTAAATTCAACCTCATATAATTAGGATTTTCTGACTTGTACTTAAAATGGAAAGAAATTGACATAAAAAATTAAATGAATTATAATAAAAAATAGAAAATATGTATTTTCAAGAAAATAATTTTTTTTCCAATTAATAAATGCATTTTCTATTTTCTAAAATCATTTGCTGCTAACATAAGAACTTAGTCTACATCGAAGTAAATTTGATTTTTATTCTGTATTAGATGGATATTAAATCTTAAACTTTCATAAAAAAAACACCCCTTGAAATTATTGTTTAGCTAGCACCTCACAAACAAATTTGAAGTGTTGAAATAATCATCTAAACTATTTTAAACATGTTTAATTCAAAAAATGCAATATATATATAACAATTTTTATATAAATTTTTATATTTTCAAAATAAAAAATATAAAAAAACATATCTTTTTGTGTTTACTATCTTTGTCTTTTATATTTTAAGATAGTAGCCAAACACTCCCCGAGAGTCATTGGTCTTTGCCCTATTTAAACTTTTAATGAAGACAGGAAATAATAGCTCGTTTCCATTGCATTATTATTTTCATGCCTTTTCTGTTCTCCATTTTCTTTTCTCCACCTTTTCCATTTCAGAGATGAACAGGATCCTAAATCATTATTTTCATGCCCATGAATTGGTCAATCAAATATCAAGCAATATGCTCAAATTATTTTCCTAAGGCAATACATGTGTTTTTTTCTTCAAACACAATGTAAGATTTGGAGCAACTATGCAACTAAATTTAATCAAAGACCATAGATAGGTAATATGCACCACTAATTAAACCTTCAAGTTAAATGGCAACTCTGAGCAAAATGCTGCCTTGAGGATATATGATATAACCTAAAGTTGCAGCCATGCCAGCATTGGCAATCTTTCTATGAAAATCTGAAAAGGTAAAAAAAAAAAAGTGTTGCCAAGACGCCAATGTATCTGTGTTTTTTGCTTGCCTGTTGGAGATGGCTGCTGTATCTGTGTCGTAAACCTGCCTGTTCGAAACAGGTAGAAAAGCTCATCTCTGGGATTCCATTAGCTCTTGCAAGTCTATAATGGCTTTATCAATTGCATAAACTATCATTTTCTTTATCTGTTACACATTGATAGAAGGGAATAAGAAAACCACGTTACTCATGGAAGCTAAGTGATCAAAAATGTAATCCATGTAAAATATGTTTCAGGAAAGAAGTTACCTCAAGTTTATCTTCTCTAGCTCTGTGGTTCATCGGAAGTTGTCGGAACTCTTCAGTTAACCGGAGGCATTCCTTTATATTTTCAGGAGAGACGAAATCTACAGCAACCTTAGTACAAGACTGCATGGATAAAACATAAGCAATTCAAACATTGTTCAACAATACAATAAAGATATTCACCAATTTCTTGGAGGTCTACTATCTGAAAATTAATAAATATAAATTGAAATATTGGTGAAATATTTTTATAAATATATTATGATAACCTTTACCAATATAATTTCTCATCTTTGTATTTATTTATAAACATCGACATAAAAATTCTTCTAATATTTACTTAGAGAATTGCAGTGAGAAAATACAAAATAGAAAAAAAAGTCATACAATATAAAAAACTTTTCTTAGTATATATCAAGGGAATTACAAAAGGTATTTAGTTAGTATTTAAAAGTGTATTTTTATTAAAGTTTTATATCATCATTTTGCACTTGAAGTATCAATAACTCCTTAACTAAAGCATGTTTTATAATAACATATCTAATAATATAAAATACCTTTAATTTGTAGTAAATATTTATTTTAAATGTAGGCCTATCACATAAATGAAATAATTGATTGATAAATTTAAGAACTGAAATTGAAAGGACAAAGAGATGGCTAAACTCCGAAAAGAGATGCCGGTGCAGTCCAAATTGAAACACTGTTCGGTAATTGAATTATATCTGGAGCTGTAAATCTCAAATTTAGGTCCATTTTATATGGATGGAAAAGGTAAAACATAGGCCTACAACTTTTATATGGAGCCTAAGATCTAAAAAGATTATTTTTAAGTTCAAATTGGAGCAACAACAAAGAAGTCTGAATCTGTCTTTCAGCTCAAGCACTATTTAGTGTTTGACCCATATCTGGAGTTCTAAAAGTCCAAATGATCTGAATTTTTTACACAAGACAGTTGAGACAATTATCTACAACTTTCATGTTTTCAAGTGGTTCCAATTTTAATGTTATCAATGATGTTTTGGGCAGACAAGAGAAGATAAGGATTGTCACCAAGTCAAGAGTTGGTCACCCACTTATCAATTAGTCATCAAATCAATAATTCCTAATTTTAGCCTATAAAAGAAGACATTTATCATGCATTTAGGTATCTTGATCTCCAGATCAAGATTATGCCCTTGCTTTTTTTCTTTGTATTTTTTGTAATGTTTATACTTTGTTTTCATTAATATCAAGTTTATGCCTTTCATTTTCTTTTATTTACTTAGTTAACTCTTATCTTATTTATGTTCTTATTTTGTTTATTTATTTTTCTTTCTTTTATTATATCTAACTAAGTTTATTATGTCAAGGTGAAAAGGTTACACTAATGGTGTAAGAATAAGTATAGTGTAAACTTAATATGGACATTAATGTTTGATACTAACATGTTTTGTATTTGTTATCTTGTTCACTCTTTAATACTTTACTTGTTAAATGACTAATCTTGATCTATGTTGTATAACACTTGGTACAACAAATGCTTGACACTTTTATAGCCCATACTGTATGGTATAACCGACACCTGAGCTATGAAAGGAACTTGATTTGTTGTTAACATAAATTATAATCATGAATGCTTGATGAGATTTACAAATATTAGCATTAATTGAATAAGATGACCAATGTAATCATGTTAACAATCTATAATCTAATTGGAACCTCCTTTGTGTGTGGTTTTCAATTGATTTATACTATACTTGTTTGATATACCATTAGTGAATCCTCTAACGTTGATATTTATTGCTATCATTGTTAAATCTTTACGTTAATATTCCATTTCAAAGTTCTCATCTTCATCTTTTTCTTTATTATTATTATTATTATTATTATTATTATTATTATTATTATTATTATTATTATTATATTTGTTGTTATTACTATAATTATTGTTGGTGTTATTGTTATTGTATTATTGTTATTTATAATTTGTATAATTTACCTTCCCGTGGTTCAACCCTGATCTTTTCAGGTTATTTATTATTTCGATACTCCTACACCTGAGAGAAGATATCAATCTTTTAGTCGTGTTAGTATTACAAAGAGATTCAAAAAAGATAAATTACACAGTGACGTAATATTTTTACTACTGAAATGATTGATGGAGTTACTGAAAAAATAATTTTGTTATTAATATTTCATTTATGATTTAGCAATCAACCTACCTTTTTTATTTCTCTTTTTTTATGCATTTTTCTACAACAAAAACCACCTCTAATCTAACCACAATTTAATATTCCACAACAAATCTAACTACAATACACTAAGTTTGTCAACATTCATGTTCTAATTCAAATTTTATTAAGAATTTTTTACTTTAAGTAAGCAAATTTATCTTTTTTTATTTGAACTCAATTTTAAATTATTTTTTTGCATATATATATGTATATATATATATATATATTGTTTGAATATTTACTTATTTTATAGTTTTTTTCTCATATAAATTTGTTGTATGAATTTGTAATTTGTATGTGTTAGGGTTTGTTTTAGATTTTTTAAAATTCATATTTCTTTGTAAGTTGGTAAAACTTATGTTGAATTTTTGATTTCGGTGTTTTGTGATAAAATAAATAATATCTTATTTAACAAGTTTGTTTTATATTTTTTCAATTTTATTGCCGAGTTGAAATTTTTAGTAAATGTGTAGAAATTTAAATTTATATAGATAATTGATAATGAATTAAAAGTAATATTAAAATAGATTGAATAAGTTTGAGTTAAATTAACATTTTTGTAAATTTATTTAATTAATATATGTCATCATTATGATTATTTATGAATGTATAGAAATTCACCTAAGGGTTGTGAATGATCTATTATTGTAGTGGGTTCAAGGTTTTATTAGTTACATACTGTCTAATTCAAAATATAGTAGGGAAATAGGTATTAGATGATCATACAAAAGGTATAAAATAAAAAGTTTCTCAATCTAGATGTTGTAACGATGCATCTTTTATAAAAAAAATCATGGAGAAATACCCGTAGTGATGTGCACACAAAGAATCATATGTTCCTCATGATATTATGATAGAAATGATGGTTGGGTAAACTTTTAGTTCTAGCAATATATATAGAGTTATAGATAACAATGATCAATGTTCAATAATAAATAAAGAACTTAAAGAAAATATGACCTTGTTTTTTGATCTTTTAAAATTTTTTGACAAATCATTATGAGATAGTTGCACAAATTACACTAAATTATCGGTTGTTGCACAAATGTACACCATCAAGTTATATCATAGGTCAAGTAAGATTAGTTGTGACATAATTAATTGTCATAGTAAATTAACCGTGGGAAATTATGTCGTTCAACTTGGTGAGTTAGTTAATCTATATCGAGTTGCTTTGTTTAATGACTTAGAAGAAAATTTAAATTTCACATAATCAAGAATGTTTTTATTGATATTGATGCCAAGGAGTTGAATGATGTTTTGAGTTCCAGTAAATATATTTAGCATGTGATGTTCGTGTGTTTTACGTGACGATCACATTTTAATGTGAAAAATCAAAATCGATGTGTTCACAATTACATTACCATGTATACCGACGACTCTGTTCTGTTCATTTCTGATTAATACTTAAAAATATATTTTTATTAAGATTTTATATTATCATTTTGCACTTGAAGTATCAATAACTCCTTAGCTAAAATATATTTTATAATAATATATCTACTAATATAAGATACCTTTAATTTATGGTAAATTTTAATCTTAAATGCAGGCCTATCACATAAGTCAAGGGATTGATTGATGAGTTTAACTACTGAAATTAAGAAGACAAAAAGAGAGCTAAGCTGAGAAAAGATATGTTGGTTCAGTTCAAACTGGAACACCATTCGGTTATTGGATTATAACTGGAGCTGTAGAACTTGGATTTATGTTTACTTTATATGGATGAAAAATTAAGACATGTGCCTAAAACTTTCATGAAGAGTCCATGATTCAAAAAGATCATTTTCAAGTTCAAATTATAGTAATAACGAAGAAATCCAAATCTGTCTTGCAACCTAGACACTGCTAGTGTTCAGCCCATATATTGAGTTCTAGAAGTTTAAGTGCACTGATTTTTCTTGTTGGAAAGTTGAGATAATTTTTTAGATGAAGACAATCTATTCATTTTGTTTAGACAAGAAGATAAGAATTATCACCAAGTCAAGATATAGTCATCCACTTAACAATTAATCAATAAATCAATAGTTTCAAATTTTGGCCTATAAAAGGAATTTACCATGCATTTAAACATTTTGATTTTCAGATCAAGATTGTGCTCTTTATTTCTTTTTTTTGTATTTTTATAATAATTAAGTTTTATTTTATTTTATATTTTCTTTAATCTCTTGTTTATACTTTTCAATTCCTTTACTAATGTTCTGATATTGTTTATTTATATTTTTCTTTTCTTCATTATGTTTAATTAAGTTTATTGTGTAAATGTGAAAAAGTTACAATAGTATAAACTCAACATGGACGTTAATGTTTGATACTAATATGTTTTGTATTTGTTATCTTATTCACTCTTAATACTTTGCTTGTTAAATGATTAATTTAGAATTATGATGTGTAACACTTGGTACAATAAATATTTGTACTTCATGGCCAACTATATGGTATAACCAACACTTGTGCTATAAAAAAAAACTTGATTTGTTGTTAATATAAGTTATAATCATAAATTTAACAACATTTACAAGTATTAATATTATTGTACAATAAATATTTGATATTTCATGGTCAACTGTATGGTATAACCAACACTTGTACTATAAAAAAAACTTGATTTGTTGCTAATATAAGTTATAATCATGAATCTAATAACATTTACAAGTATTAATATTATTTGAATAAGATGACTAATATAATCATGCTAACAACTTATAATCTGATTGAAATCTTCTTTGTGTGTGGTTTCTAGTTGAATAATAAAAAAATTAAATTATATTGTTTAAAATATAATTAGTGGATCCTCTAACCTTAACATTTATTTTTTTATTATTGTTTAATCATCATATTAATCCTCCTCCTCCCCCCTTCTTTATTATTATTATTTATAATTTATATAATTAACCTTCTTGTGGTTAGACCCCGGTCTTATCAGGTTATTTATTACTTTGACATTCTTATACTTGAAAGAAGATATCAATCTTTTAGACGTGTCAATTTTACATGTGAAGCAGATGGTGAGATTTTTTTTTATTACATCC